AAAAAAAAAAAAAAAAAAAAAAGAAATTGAGGGAATTTATCACCAGTAGAACTGTCTTGCAAGAAATGTTAAAAGAAATTCCTCAGAACAAAGGGAAATGATATAAATCAGAAACTGGGATCTACACAAAGAAAGGAAGATCATTAGAGAAGGAACAAATTAAAATGAAATTGTTTATTTGTTTTGTTCTTGATTGACCTAACTGATAACAGTTCAAAATAATAGTAGCCATAATGTACTCAGTGATTACAGCTTATGGATAAGCGAAATGAATGACAGCAACGCTATAATGGACAGGTGGAATGAATTGGGAATACTCTGTTATCAGGCACTTGCACTACCCAGGAAGCCATATATTGGTACTTGAAAGAGGGCTTGGATTATTTGTAAATGTATACTACAAACTCCAGGGCAACCACCGAAAAAGATGAAAAACAAAAAAAAATAGGGGTGTAATTGGCATGCCAAGAGAGGAGAAAAAAACCAGAATCACATAAAACTCTTATTTACAACCAGAGAAGGCAGAAAAAGAGTGGAAGACAAAAAGAAAGAAACCAAGCAAAAGAGCAACGAATATAAAACAGTAACAACTATGGTAGATAGTAATCCAGTATATCAACAACAACCTTCAATGCCAGCGGTCTAAATGCACCAACTAAAAGATGACCGTCAGAGTGGAGGAAAACGTAAGACTTAATGATATGTTGTGTATAAGAAATCCACTGTAAATAAAAAGACACAGGGTTAATAAAATTAAAAGGATGGAGAAAGATATACCATGCTAACACTGATCAAAAGCAAGCTGCAGTAGCTCTATGAGTTTCAGACAAAGCGGACTTCAGAGTAATGAAAATGACCAGGGATAAAGAGGGGTATTACCGAACAAAAAAGAGGTCAGGTCTCCAAGAAGACATAACAATTCTTAATGTGTATGCACCTAGCAGAAGAGCGCCAAAATAAATGAGGCAAAAACTGAGAATGGCAAGGAGAAATAGATGAATCTAGTACTCTAGTTGGAGATTTCAACACCCCTCTGTCAGAAACAGGCAAATCCAGCAGGCAGAAAATCAGGAAGGATATAGTTGAACTCAACAGCACCATGAACCAACTGGATGGAATTGACACGTATAGAATGCTTCATCAAACAAGGGCAGAACACACAGTCTTCTCAAGTCCACACGGAACATTCACTAAAATCGGCGCCATGCTGGGCCATTAAAACACACATTAACAAATTGAACATAGAAAACATACAAAATACGCTCTCAAGCCACAATGGAATTAAACTAGTAATCAATAACAACAAGATAGCTACAACATTCCAAAATACCTGTAGATTAAGCAATATACTTGACACTTGTCAAAGAAGAGGTCTCAAGGGCAACTTAAAAATATTTTGAACTAAACGAAAATGAAATATAATCAAGATTTGTGCGATGCAGCAAAAGCAGTGCTTAGAGGGAAATTTATAGCATTGCATTGCATATATTAGAAAAGAAGAAGGATCTAAAATCAATAATCTAATATTCCATCATAGGGTACAAGACAAAGAAGAAAAAATTAAATGTAAGCAGAAGAAAAAAGTAATGAAATTAAAGCAGAAATCAATGTAATTGAAAACAAGAAATCAATAGAGAAAATTGACAAAACCCGAAGCACATTCTTAGAAATGCCCAACAAAATTGATGAACCTCTAGCCAGATTAACTAAGAAGAAAAGAGAGAAGATACAAATTACGAATATGAGAAATGAAAGAGGGACCATCACTACTGATCGGATGGACATCAAATGGATAATAGAGGAATATTAGGAACAATTCTGTGCCCTAAAATTTTAAAATAGATCCATTTCTTGAAAGACACAATCTACCAAAACTCACAGAAGGAGAAATAGATAATCCCAATAGGCTTATATCTACTACAGAAATTGAAACAATAATTAATAATCTTGCAAAACAGAAAGCACCAGGCCCAGAAAAATTCACTGATGAATTCTCTGAAACATTTAAGGAAGAAATTATCCCAATTCTCTACAATCTCTTCCAGAAAATAGAAACAGAAGGAATACATCCTAACACATTCTATGAAGTCAGCATTAACCTACTACCAAAACCAGACAAAGACACTACAGAAAGGAAAACTACAGGCCGATATGTCCCACGAACACAGGTGCAAGAATCATCAACAAAATTTGACAAGTTGAATCCAACAAAGTATAAAAAGAATTATACACCACATCTCAGCAAGATTTATTCCAGGTATGCAGATGGTTCAACATTCAAAAATCAATTAATGCAATTCACCACCCCTCGGGGTAGAAGCAGACAGTTGGACCAGAATGGCCTGTACCCCGGGCATTTCTCCTCACTGTTCCCACCCTGCCAGCCCTGGTCCTGTTGTGACTCCAAATGTGACATGGAAACCAGACCAGCCGGTTAAAAACAAAATTCCCTTGTAAGTGGAATCTCTTGGAACAGCTCAATACAATCAGGGCCTGTGACTGCCTTACCTGGGCTGAGCTTTTGGGCAAGGCGCTCTGCCAGCCTGTGTCCCTCAGCCAGTTGCTCTCGGAAGCCCTGCCCCTGGTAGTTGGCAGGGTCATTGTGGCTGAGGAGGTCTTGGAGACACTGATTGAGTACGACAGAGACTTTTCTGCCTTCCTGTATCTTTTGCTGTAACTGGGTCAGCTCTTGAGCCTGATCTTGAATTAGGATATCACATTTCCTAAGGGGGGACACAAGAGAACATTTAAAAGTGCAAAGAGTTGAACCATAGGTTATAGGAATTTTAAAGGAGATTTCCGTGAGAATATCCCCAAGGAGCCCTCGAAGCAGAATTCGGGCGTATGTGTGGTGACCCGCCTGTGGTAAAGAGAAAGAAGATGGTAAAACAAAGGCTTCCTCTGTATTAGAGAGTGCTCCTGTAAGATCCCTTGACATCCCATTCATCTTGTTCTTCTATAAGCAAAGCCAACTGTCTCCCTAAACCTGCTTTATAAAGATGTCCCTTCAGTTCCTTACTGAATGGCTATGTGCATTTTGATGTAAAAATGCACACAGTGCCTTATGTAGTGACTGGACACAGAACCAGACGCAGAAATGTGGACAGGCACAGCTGGTGTTAATTGGAAAGAATATGAGAAGGACAGTGTCAACAAGACAGCAGTTTTAAAAAGATTTCTCAGAGCATAATTGACATACAATATCCTATTTGCTTCAGGTGTATATCATAGTGATTTGATATTTATATACATTATGAAATGATCACCACGATAAGTCTAGTTACCATCTGTCACCATACAAAGTTATGAGAGTATTATGGACTATATTTCCTATGCTCTACATTCCATCCCCATGACTTACTTATTTCATAACTGGAAGTTTCTACCTCTTAATCCCCTTCACTCATTTTGCCACCGCCCCCCTCCCACTCCCCCCTCTGGTAACCATCAGTTTCTTCCCGTGTCTATGAGTCTCTTTGTTTTGTTTTGTTTTGTTTTTTAGATGCAACATGCAGGTGGAGGAAAGGAAACCCTCGTATGCTGTTGGTGGGAATGTAAATTGGAGCCGCCACTACGGAAAACAGTATGGAGGTTTCTCAAAATCTTCAGAAAGACGGCTTTTTACTGAAAGCAAGGATGACAAGCTGTAGTCCGTCAGGAGGTGATTGTGATTAAAGGTAAGTGAGGTGGTGATTGCACAACATCGTGAATGTACTAAATGCCACTGAAGGGTTCACTCAAATTTGGTCAACTTTATGTTACGTGCTTTTCACATCAATAAATTTTATTTTCAAAAAAGAGTAAAGGAGGCCTTGAGTAATTGGAGTCCATCATTTACCAATTATTGTTCTCTAATTGTTTTATAAATATCCGTATGCATGTGCCTGTCATGAAAATTTCTGCCCTTCTCCTGGCCCAGAGTTGCTCCTTGCCCTTCTTCAGAGATTCCTACAACTTCCCACCAGCTGCCCAGCAGAGAGCTCTCCTTACCTGAGCTTCTCAACTAAGGCTGCCTTCTCTGTCAGCTTCCCCTCCTCAAACTGCAGCTTCTCTCCCAGCACGGACTCAACGATGCCTTTGCACTCTCCACACTCTGAGAAAAGACAGAGATGCCCGCCTCAGTGGAAAGCTGGCCATGTTGCTGTGGTCACTGCCTTCAAGGGAGGAGGCAGGGTCCATCTCTCTCTCTCTGTCTCTCTCTCTCTCTCTGTCTCTCTCTCAGAGAGAGACATAACCCCAGCACCAGGCTCTCTGCTGGGATTTCCACATCTTATTCCTCAGCCTCCCAACTGCATGTCGTTTGGTTACTCTCCATTTTAGAACTGAGGAAAGAGAAGTTCCAAGGCAGAAAAAGTAACCAGACAAGATTAACTGGTATTTGGCAAGGTCAGAATTCAATTCCCTGAGACCGACCCTGAGTCATGGGCCACTTGACCTAGACTTGCAGCCTCTTGAGTAAAACGCTAAGCAGGGGCATGAAGTAGCGATTCCTGTGTGCTTGGGAAGGCCCCTAGGACTGCTGACTGTTGGTTCCCCTCAGCTCAGAATTTCAAGCACAAGTACCTTAAAGATGAAAAACATTTATGTGAATACAGTTCTGTACAATATCATCACATGACTATAAATCCCTGAAGGAAACATGCACGGACACTAATAACGTTTGTTTTAAATTAAAAGTAGTGAAGCAAGAACTCATAAATAGTGTTTGCTCTGTGCGAAGAACTGTTTAAGGAGCTTTAGAGAAATAACTCATGTAATTCATTGCAACCACTCAAAAAAGTAGGTACTATGAGAGCACCACATTAACAGAGGAGGAAACTGAGGCACAGAAAGATCCACAACTTGGATTTGAGCCCAAGAAGACTGGCCCAGTGTCCATGCTCTTTATCACTGCACTGTGTTACCTCAATACCAACATCTCTGGTGACATCATTCTTCTTCACCGTCTTCAAAATTTGTTTCCTTCAGTTATGTTACGATTATAAGGAAAGATGTAAATAAAACTTAGTTTGTCCTTTCTCAAAAGCTAGTCTCTTCACTTGCTTAAATAGCAGTCTTCAATTTTTTACATTTCTCTGTCAGTCATTTTAACTTAACCCCTCCCACAATGGTCTATTGGAAAATGCCACCAATTCCGGCTCAGAGTTGTCAAGATTCCTTCTAATCACTCTGTTGTGCACGGGCCCCCATTCTCAAGATTCCTTTCGTCACTACAGCCCCCTCTTACTGAACGGGTGATCGAGTTTCCAATCGTAAATCTGACTGGGGGAGGGAAGGCCCTGCCCCAAACACTGGCTTGAAATTGTCCTGGGGCTGGTGGCCTCCCCCACTTACCCTCATTCTCACTTTGGCCACATGTCTCATGTCCCAGACCCTCAATATCACCTGGACCTGCTGGCCATCCTGCATCATCAGAGGTTCACCAGCTCAGAGAGAGACAGAGGGGGTGGTACAGATTCTCTGATTTCCCCAGAAACACCCTCAACCTCACCACAGTGGTAAAATGGCTTCCTCGGGCTCAGAAAGAAGAGCCTGTGCTCAGGAAGCTCAGCTTCCCTCTCAGCAGCGTAGTCTCCGTCTTGATGGCATCCCTCATGGATAGCACAGTTTCAGTGAGGAGCGGACTCATCTTCAAGCTCCTTTAAGGCAGGTACCATCACCTGCTTCCCCCAGCGTGTACCATCACCCCGTTTTCCCAGTGAAACTAGCACAGCGCTTTGCCAATGGGACCTCAGAGAAGCCTGAACTGAGGGAGTTCATTAGTCCTCGACGTTTCTGCCAACAGTGACGCAGGATCTCGCTCAGTACAAAGAGGATGCTGAGAGCAACAGTTTAGCCTGTTCCTGAGAGAAACAGGCAGTTCTGTGCCTGCACCGGGATCAGTAACCGGGATCTGAAGTTTAATTCCACCTTACACCTCACTGCAAACCTGGCAAAGCCCCTCAACTCTTTGTGCCTCAGTTTTCCCATGCTCAGCACACTGAGACTAAGATACCCACTTGTACCTTTCCTGGATCCTGGTCTGAGTGAAAGCTATTTTGCCCAAGAGAATGGAAGATAAGGTCTGGAGAGTTTTTAGTTTCTTAGAGGGAAGACAGTGATCATTCATCACTCTGGTGACCATGACCCTGTAGGACTTACTGTATTTCTGCAGCTGGTTGGCCAGGATGTAGGCAGTAGATTCAGATACAAGAAATTTCTCTCTGAGGTCTCTAAAGTCCTGTTTGCTTTGTGCCAGCTGGGATTGAAGCTGCTGGTTGATTTCCAGGATGGTACTTTCAGCCCTCGGATCAGACAAAGGGCCTAAAGATTCTGCCATGGTGACGTGCGGCAGAAGAGGTAGAGCCAGGGACTGGGGAGAAGAAACCCAAACACAGAACGGGTTAAAAACAAGTGAAATCAAATAGATTTAATCAGGACTGAGGGGTGATGATACAGGGTTTCTTAACTTACTGTTGGCAACGACTTGATCAACACCCCACAATACTTGAGAGTCCGGAACCCCCAAAACAAGGTTCAAGATGCCAGAGCTCAGAGCCGAAGGCACTGTCCGTAGCTCACACTCCAAGAGGAGTGAGTGAGGGAGGACCCAGCGTGCCAGGTAACGGTCTGGAGTTGCCATAACAGAATTGGAAGGTGGGGGGTGTCATGGAATCTTAGGAGCCCTTGCCTTCCAAGTGCCTAGGCCAAGCTGCTACACAAAGATGTCTGATTTCTACTGAAGGTCACCAGCAATGGGGACCACCCCTCAGCAGCCACTCTCAATAGCTGTCGGCCCTTGTGCTGATACCACAACTATTCTCTTTCCAAGAAATAGCTAAGCATAATAATTTCTCAGTGTTCGTTCTTGTGTGTTTATAAAAACATCAAGACAGAAATTGTTTCCCAATAACTTTTCTTTCCTTCAGGGCTGTCATGAAGTCACCAACCTTCTCGTTAAACTAAAACAGATCTTAAGGCTTTTCCACAAGTGAAAGATGTCAAACTTTTAGACTCTCATGATGTTCTTCTCTGGAACTTCTCCAGTTTTTTCTATATCTGTAAAAAAGTGGAGGACAGTGGCCGGCCCTGTGACTTAGCAGTTAAGTGCGCGTGCTCCACTACTGGCGGCCCAGGTTCGGATCCGGGGCACGCACTGAAGCACCACTTGTCGAGCCATGCTGAGGCGGCATCCTACATACAGCAACTAAAAGGATGTGCAACTATGACATACAACTATCTACTGGGGCTTTGGGGAGTAAAAGGAGGAGGACTGGCAATAGATGTTAGTTCAGGGCCGGACTTCCTCAGCAAAAAGAGGAGGATTGGCATGGATGTTAGCTCAGGGCTGATCTTCCTCACACACACACACAAAAAAAGTGTAGGACAAAACCCAGAGCATCACACTAAGTGAATGAATAATAAATGCACAAAAATGTGTCCTGTCCTGACTCTCTCCATTTCTTCTCGCTGCATCCCTGTGTTATGTCAGCTTCTTACCCATCAGTGGGGCAGCATGTTGGCTTTTCATTAAACTGAAGTCAAGTGACACCCCTACCTCCTAAACTCCTCTTCTATCTGTCAGTTGCTCTTCTGTTGTTTTTCTTTAATGTCACTAAACACTATATTTCATATTTGTCACTTACGGATTTCATTCTAGTCCCATGAGAGTTCTTTCCAAGCTGTCAAAATGATTAAAATAGTTTAGTTGTATATCCTTAAATACACGTAGTGACCATTCTTTTGGAAAGACTTGTAAACCTGATGCTATTTTTTATGTTCATTCAGTTCACACACATATTGAACAGACAGGGATCCAGAACAGCTTTTATGGATCTTTACTTGATAGATCTCTTTGAGTTGTCCTATGCCATTTAAATGTAGTTGTATTCTGCTAACAGAACACGGTCAGCTCAAGGTCATGGGTCAGGGATGGTTGATGATCCACAGTGTACGTGTGGAATGGGGTTCAGTGACATAGAAGCTGAGGTTTAGAAGAGAGGGTGGGGCAGGCAGCAGAAAATGATGCCCTGAACCCCCTCCTCACTTCTTCTGCATCTGACCGCACCTGGGTCTTGTGAGCCTGAGACTTGGGAGATCCCCCGGAGCATCGCTTTCTTCAGTTTAGCTACTGGACTTGCCTGAGTTGAGGGTGCAGCTGGTGTAACCATGTGCCACCTAGCATGCATGTCAAAGTGAAGCATGGAGGACCGGATCAACCACTTTTGAAAGTTTATCTTCTCCCCATCCCACGCCATCCTTCATCTACACCATGTAAAGATATTGGTGTGTGAGATCCACCAAAGGCTTTAAAGAAATCTATTTTCTGGTGTCTGTGGGACCTGACATTCTACGGGAGAAAGAAAAGTTTGTCAAATTCCTTCACTTTAAAAATGATGAAAGCGAAGGCTCACAAAAGTTATGTGACTTACTTGAAGTCACACACGAATGAGTTTTTTGCAGTGCTAATTATAGTAATCATAATAACAGTAATAGTCCATTGAGTGATACTGGGCCAGGCACTTTGCTAAGCACAGTAGACATATGACCGCATTTTATTTTCATCATAAGCCTTTGAGGTAATACTGTTGTCCATAAATAAAGTAAGAAACCCGAACAAGAGGGACATTAAGAAATTTATTTGGCCAAATTAAAAACAGAAAAAACACTTTTTGTTATAAGAGCAAAGAAGTGATTGCCTTCCATTTTGTTAAAATAAGAGAAACCTGTTTTGTTTTTATCCTACATTTGTCCCATTTACTGCTGCTCTTTTTCTCTCTCTGTGACCTGGCTTTGCTTCTAGAGCCCTACTTTGTTCTACTAACCCATCTCCAGGCACGTCCAATAACAGAAGTGATGGCTGGGCTCTTCCAGAGTCTCCCTGAAATGCTTGCGGTGTCACGTCAGACACAGTCTGGAGGCAAGAGTGACCCATATCTGAGAATGGGCAGCTGCTTTCCACCTCATTCAAGTCGGTATGATGTCAAATGACAGAAAGGGATAATTTCCCTTTAACTCCGGAGTCACGTCTCAGTGACTGTGATCTATTGGGCTGAACTGACCTGAACTTGAGTGGACTTGCTAACTTTCTGGTTTCTTAACTGGCTAGAATATTTATAAGACTTTCTTACTTAAATATCTCTCTTGACGTTTGAATTAACAGCAATATGATTTATTTTTGTAAGGTAAGAGGCTAGGAGAAGACTGGTTCCTTCAACGAGCAAATAAGGGTAAAATTAACTTCCATTCAAAGCAAGCTAGAATTTGAAATTAGGGCTTTTGTTGTTTTCAAGGTGGACTGTAGGTACGTCAGGCGTATGTCCCCAAGGGCTTGCGTCTTTGCTGTAAACCGGATGAGGTTAAAACGGGGTCAGATTGGCCAGGTCCCTTTCAAGTCTAGGGTCCTCCAACAGTTCCTCCTCCGCTTTAGAGAATGGATTGAAAATATCCTTGTTGTTCGGCTCTGTCCTACTTTTGTGTTTTGGGTAAAAGTTATACAGCTCAGTGTTTCTCCCACCCCCAAGTGGATCATTCTAAGAATCATCTGGGAGAGTTAGCACAAATCAAGTTCATGGTCCTCATTTGTAGTGATTCTGATCTGGTGGGCTTAGGTGGAGCATGGAATCTATGTGTTAAAGTTACTCGGATGTGAAATAGGTTGAGGACCCACTGATATCATCAACCTTCCTCACAGTTTGGGGGATGATCATTTCAGATATATTATTAATTCTAATCTTCGGAATCGACTCGTGATGAAAGCATTACTTTCCCCTGTTTGCAGATGAAGAAACCAAGGCATAGAGAGGGTCTTTAACTGGCCCAAGATCCCCTGGCTGTATGCAGCCAGATGTCAGGTAGAGTCCCCCTCTCCCTCAAACCCCGTTCCCACATTTTCCAGTTCACTCTCATCTCAGGTTTTTCCAAGTGGGTGCTTCCTTTGCCTATACTTCATTTCTACCAAAAGATAGCTGCATTTTGTTTTTTCATCCCATATATTTTTCACAGCAGGCTAACAGCATCCTATTATGGCCACTGGCTAGTAATTTGAGGCACATTTTTTAATGAAAATACAGGGCATAGGAATGTGCAAAGTCATGTTGCTGATTATTATCATTATGGCATAATTCATAAACTGTAAAATTCACCGTTTTGTGTACAAATCAGTGACTTTTAGTCTATTTGCAAGGTTGTGGAAGCATCAGCACTCTCTAATTCCTGAATATTTTCATTACCTCAAAAACGGAACACCGTACCTACCGGCAGTCACTCCCTATTTCCCCCTTCTCCCAGCCCTTGGCAACCGCTAATCTATTTTCTCTCTCTATGGATTTGCCTGATCTGGGCATTTCTTCTAAATGGAATCATACAACCTGTGGTCTTTGGTGTCTGGCTTCTTCATTTAGCATCATGTTTTCAAGGTTCATCCATGGTTTGGCGTGTATCGGTACTTTATTATTTTCATATTTGAATAATAGTTCATTTTATGACTATACTACATTTTGTCCGTTCATCAGTTGATGAATATTTGGGTTGTTTCTACTTTTGGCTGTTATGAATAATGCTGCTATGAATATTTGTATTCAATATATGTGCAAGTTTGTTTGTGACCATATGTTTTCAATTCTCTTGAAAATATATACCTAGGAGTGGAATTGCTATGTCTACATCAGCTCTAGATTTAACTTTGAGCCACTGACAAACTGTTTTCCAAAGCAAGCTAGAATTTGAAATTTTACATTCCCACTAGCAATGCAGGAGGATTCCACTTTCTCCACATCTTCCTCAACACGTGTTACTGCCTATCTTTTAATACTAGTGGGTGTGAAATGGTATCTCCTTGCAGGTTTGAGTTCCATTTTCTTAATGACTGATGAGGTTGAGCATCTTTTCATGTGCTTATTGGTCATTTGTACATCTTCTATAGAGAAATGTCTGTTCAAATCCTTTTTCCATTGATATATTAGACTATTTGTCTTTTTACTGTTGAGTTGTAAGAGTTCTTCATATATTCTGGATACTAGGCACTTGTCAGATACATGTTTTGCAGCTATCTTCTCTGATTCTGTGGGTTGTCCTTTCACTTCCACGTTAGCATCGTTTGAAGCACAAAAAAATTTAATTTTGATGAACTCCAATCTATTTATTCATTGGTTGTTTTTGCTTTAGCTGTCATATCTAAGAAATCATTACCTAATCAAAGATCACAAAGATTACACCTATATATTCTTCAACACACTGCTTTGAATTAGAACTTTCCTGGTTTAGGGTAGGGGGACATTTTTGAACTTTGATTCCTGTAAATTGATACACATATATATATATCCCACTTGATTGATATTCACAATCTGCCACACACTCCAATGGAGCATCCTTGTGCTATAACAGAGATCTGGGAAATGGTATGTATGACTATCCCGGCTTTGACTCAGGTGAGAGTCCTGGTCAGCTGGTTCACCCTCTCCTTGACCTCTCCTGGGTTCAAAAATTGTTCAATATCTTTAGAGTTGAACAAGTGCTTGAGTGTCTTTCTGAGAAACACTTGGGAGTCCAGGATGTTCGAAAGCTATAGTGGACTCCATCCTTCCACTCCAGACAGCAATGACTGCAGGGGTTGGACTCAGCCAAGACTTTCATCACTGGTGTTAGGTGAAAACTAGCCCTGCTTCAGAGTTTGGGGATGGCTGTTCAAAAGGGTCTTGTTCCTCTCCAATTCTTTGTACTGCATACACGACTTCTCTCTAGAAATGGTGGGAAAATGTTTATTTTAGAACAACTAATCTGCTCTCTGCCAATAGTTTTCTGTCTACAGATTTAAAGGGAGTAAGGGATGACAAATATGTTCTTAGCACCTATTATTGTTCCAGTGATCATATTTAAGCTTATGAACTATCTTATTAGTCAAGTTTTATCCTTTTCGTTATGAGAAAAGAAAACTCAGAATGACTACAAAATCTCCCAAGATCGCAAATCTAGAGAGGAGAGGACTGAGCATCAGAAACCATTTCTGTTTGGCCTTCAAAGTCAACCCTGTAGCATTGTATCCAACTGAATGGCAGTACTTTTGTTGGAATAAGTCTCAGTGTTTGTTGTTCGAGGGTGATTTTCCCAAGACAGCAGCGTGTCATTTTAATATTATTTGAACTTTTAAATTTCACTATCTCTTTTGGTTTAACCATACATTTTAGTGTTTGTTCTGTTCCATTGCTTTGGGTTTCTTCTCAAGAGAATCTTTTTATTTATATTTTGAATATTTGTTACCTATTTTCTGTCATTTCTCACCTTTTTTACTCTTTGTCATCCCCTCTCTCTTCTTTTTATTGCTCACATTTCTTTATTGAGGTACAATTTACCTAGGGCAAAATGCACAAAACTTCAGTGTACAGCACAGTGAATTTAACAGGTATGCATTGTGTAATCACCACCCAGACCAAGAAACAGATCGTTTTCCATCATCCCCCAAAGTTCTGTCACACTCCTTGCCAGTCAATACCCATCCCCCAAAGAAAAACATATTCTAATTCTCTCACCATAGATTAATTTTGCTTACTTTTGCACTTCATATAAATGGAACGCAGTATGTTCTCTTTTGTTCTGTGTTCTTTCCCTCAATATCTGGTTTTGAGATTCAATCATAACAGGCTACCCGTGTCAGTAATTTGGTTTTTTTATTGCCAAGAAATATTCTGTTTTATAATTATAGCACAATTTCATTATCCATTTTTCTGATGATGGACAGATTTGGTTTTGGTTATTATGCATGAAGTAACTATGACTATTCATGTATATATATTTTTTGTGGAGATAATCACTTGTTTGTCCTGGGTACCTATACCTAGGAATAGAATTGCCTGGTGAAACAGTAGAAACTGACAGAGACTCTTGCAAAGTAGTTGTATCATTTTACAGTTCCATCCAAATACAAGACACTTCCAGTTTCTCTACATTCTCCCACACTTAGTATTTCGATCTTTTTAATTTTAGCCATTCTGGTGACTGTGTAGAGGTTTGCCATTTTGGTTTCAAAAGCTTTCTAGTCATGTGGCTATCTCCTTATGTGAAGTGCCTTTTCTAATCTTCTGCTCATTAATAAACTAGGTTGTTTGTGGTGTTCTTTATCTTGCTGAGGAAGATTCACCCTGAGCTAACATTTGTGCCAGTCTTCCTCTATTTGTATGTGGGACGCTGCCACAACGTGACTGATGAGTGGAGCAGGTCCGCGTCCGAGATCCCAATCCATGAACCCAAGCCGCTGAATCACAGTGCCTGGAACTTGAACCACTCTGCCACGGGGCCACCCCCTTGTAATTTTCTTTGGGACTTGTATAAGTTCTTTGTATACTTTGGATAAGTCCTTGTCAGATATACATATTGCAAGTAATTATTCCTGGTCTTTAAATTGATTTTTCCCTTTTTAAATTGCCATCTATCATAAGCCAAAGGGTTCATATTTTATGAAAGCCACTTTGATCAATTTTTCAGCTGTGGCGAGTACCTTGGTGTCATGTCTAAGAAATCTTTGCCTATACCTTGGTCATGAAAATATTTCCATTTTTCTTTCAAGGGCTATATAGTTTTAACTTTCACATCTCCAATTAACTTTAATGTTTGGTTGGAAATGGTTTTTAATATTAACTGGTTTTTAAATAAATATTCATTCTTTCTAACACCTTTTATGGAAAAGTCTTTCATTACCCCAGTGAAACGTATTGGTGACTTTATAAAAAATATCAAATAATTGTATACGTATGTGGGGAAATATTTTACTCTCTGCTCTTTCCCATTGATTTGTTTGTGTTGCCTTTACTTCCACCAATACTATAGTGTCCTAATTACTGTAGCTTTAAAGTGAGTGTTGAAATCTAGTAGAGTGTGTCCTCCAACTTAATTCTTCTTCAAGGCTGTCTTGGCTATTCGAGGTACTTTCATTTCCATCTACATTTTAGAATTAGCTTGAAAATTTCCCCCCAAAAATGCCTGCTGCAATGTTACTTGGGGTAATGTTGACTTGACATTCTAACAATATTGAATCTTCCAATCTATGAATTTGATAGATATTTTTTTGATTTATCTAGTTCTTCTTTAACTTCTCTCAGTAATAATCTTCGGGAGTCCTTATTATATGTGTTCTTAGGCATTTAATGATTGTGGATGTTAATCTCTTTTGTGTTTTACTGTATTTCATTTTCTAAATAACTTATTGCAAGTATGGAGAAATATAACAGATTGTTATATGAATGCTGTTGAGGTATAATTTAGGTAGAATAGACCACACCACTTTAAAGTATACAATTAAATGCATCTGACAGATGTATACACTAATGAAACTACCTGCTACAGTCAGGATACAGGGCATTTCCACTATCTCATGACTTTCCTCGTGCCCCTTTGCAGTCCATCACTCCCTCAACCCTAGGTCCCAGGCAACCACAGTCGTTACAGATGGGTTTGCATTTTTAACAACTTTATATAATGGAGCCATACACATACTCTTTCATGTCTGCATTTCCTTATGCAGCATAATGATTTTAAAATCCATCCACATTACTACATGCATCAACAGTTCATGCCTTTTTACTGCTAAGTGGTATTCTTTGTATGGCTCTATCGTGTCTATTTATACATTCATCTATTAAGGGACATCTGTGTAGTTTCCAGGTTTTGGCTATTATGAATAAAGCTTTTATGGATATTCATGTGCAATTGTTGTGTGGACATATTCTGTAAATACCTAGCAGTGAAATGGCTATTCACATGATTGGCATATGTTTACTTGCAATTCAGCTTTTCCAAGTGGTTGTACCATTTTTCATTCTCACATTTGTAAGAGATTTCTAGTGGCTTTACATCCTAACCACAAGTGGTATTTTCAGTCTCTAATTTTAGCCATGGTAAAGGATGTGTAGTGGTAATCACTGTAGTATGAATTTATTTCCCAGATGACAGAGTTGAGCATCTTTTTATGTGCTTTTTGGTCATTTATATATCTTCTTTTGTGAAGTATTTCCTCAAGTCTTTTGACCAATTCTCTTATTGCATTATCCTACCTGACAAAATACGTGTAAGAAAAGTACACTGAAAATGACAAAACATTACTTTGAGAAATTAAAGAATTAAATTAATGGAGAGATAAAACTTGTTGTGGATTGGAAAACTCAAGATGATTTAGATGTCAATTCTCCTCAAACTGATCAACAGATCTATTACAATCCCAATCAAAATTCCAGCAAGTATTTCGGGACATTTACAAGTTGATTCTAAAATTTATATGGGAAAGCAAATGATCCTGAATTATCAAAGCAATTTTATAAAAGTAGACAAAAGGTGGATAACTTACACTGCCTATTTCCAGAAGTACTATACAAATCTTTTATCCAATTTAAAATTAATTTCTTTGTCTTTTTATTATTTGGTTTTAAGGGTCTCTGTATACTCTGGGTATAAGTGTTCTATCAGATATGTGATTTACAATTATTTTCAACTCACTGTGGCTTGACTTTTCATTCTCTTACCAGTGCTTTTGAAAAGCAAACGTTTTCAATTTTCATGACATCCAATTTATCAATATATTCTTTTATCAGTTATGTTTTTGGTATCAATCTAAGAAATCTTTGTCTAACCTAAAATCACAAATATTTTCCTCTATGTTTTCTTCTGGAAGTTTTACAGTTTTAGGATTTACATTTAGAGGTATTACCTATTTGGAGTTAATTTTTGTATATGGTGTGAGATATGGGTTCTATTTATTTATTTCACTATTTTTCATTTGGATATAGAGATCCACTAGTTGAAAAGGTTGAAAAAGATCATTCTTCACCATTTATTGAAAAGACTATCTTTTCTCCACTGCGTTGTCTTTTTGCATTTGTCAAAAATCAGTCTCTTTATATGTATTAGTTTATTTTTAGACTCTTTACTCTGTTCTATTATCTATTGATCTATGATGACAACAATACCATACTGCTTTGAATACTATAACTTTAGAATAGTTCTTGAAATCAGGTAGAGCTGGCCATCCAACTTTGTTCTTTATTTTGTAGGTGTTTTGACTATGCTAGGTCTTTTGCATTTTCATATTCATTTAGAATCAGCTCATTACCTTCTACCTAAGATGCTGACTGATATTTTGAGTTGGGTTGCATTGAATCTATAGATCAAGTTGGGGAAAACTGACATCTCAAAAATAATGAGTCTTCTGACCATGAACAGGGAATTTGTCTTCATTTTTTTAGGTCTTCATTCATTTCTTTCACCAATATCTTGTACTTTCATCTGTTTGATGCTATTATTTTTCACACTTTATTTATGCATTGAAATTATATAGACATAAAATAGATTTATGTACATTGATCTTGTACCCTGCTGGAAACAAATGCTTCAGAGTCAACCTGTATCTAGCAATGACCATAGCTTTGGGGACTTGTGTATTTGCCAGGTGAGAAGAATCTCCTTCAATTCAGTTGGGGCTTTATCATCAATCCAAGGAAGATGAGCAAAACCCAAGTTGAGTCCTGTTGCTGGGCAGTGTTTGTAGGAGGGCTTTTGTGGACTAACGAATGTGAAAGGTTTTGTATGGTCATCGATAAGAACGCCTTAAAAGTAACCATTTAGTTTGGTGAGCCTGCCAATTTATCCTTGTGTTTAGGTGCAATACCAGTTACAGATTTAGGGGTCAATATTCTCCCTTATTATTTAATTTAGTGTTCCATGATCTATTCCAGCATTATGCACTGCCAGAATCTTTCAAATCATATGCAAAGATATATCTGTTACATATGGTGAGTTTGTGCCCATTTCTGACTAGTCTTATGGTTGATGTGTTCTATGATAAAAATGACACCAAGAGCATTAAAATAATTAATAGCAGCAGCCCGAGGGGCTCTGGGTGTGTGACATTTGTAAGCTTTAGGAGACACTGCTTCCTACCCCATATCTGAAGTAGGTGTCGAATCCCATCAGTCTATAATCATCAGATCCCTGAGGCTGCAACATAATCTGTAGGCCCTTTGTATCAGCTTCATTCCCTAAAAGATGGTGAACGACCTTCAGTTCAAATTATGCCCTGACTGGTGTATGTAGCATATTTAAGTTATCTCTTTAGTCACTGATGTTTCCATCCAGTCATGTAAAGCTTGCTCACCTGGATGACTCTCAAGGTCTCCTTCCCAATGGGTCAGATAACTTGTCTCAGAAAACCAAAGCATCCATTTGTCATTATGTGTCTCTCCTAAAGCTTATTCTTGATGGGCTAAAACATGGCTCACAAACAGCTGTAAATGTGTTTTATTTATATCCGTTTAATGGTTTTCTAAAGGCAGTGACCCAACCGACTTTCTTTTTACAGTCCAATTTGTTGTTTCCCAATGCTCCGCCCATTTGGCAGGACCAAGAGTCAGTATAAACATAGACTTATCCCCATTGGTTTGTTACCAACCAAGTGATGGTGTGTACATTGCATACAATTCTATACATTGGGCTGACTGTGCCCTCCTTCTTTTACCTGTTTCCTGTTGGGTGTTCAGGTGTTGTAATGTCACTCACTACTTCCATTGACATCCCTGGATGACAGTGCTGCTCTCTGTGAAAACAGTTGTTTTACACTGCTATTTATCGAAGTTATCATACTGTCTTTAAATCTGCACTTTTATGAGCATGATTAATAGTTAATATCTATAGTATTCAATTCTTCAGTTAGGTCAAAAACTAAAATTTCAAAATAAGAAATAAAATAACCGCCTCATTATTTAGATGTTTTTAAAAAGTATACCACTTCCATTTCAGGTGTGTGTGCTGATGTGCAGATTCCTCACTCCCCTTAGAAAAGTCACTGTTGGTCCAAGACAATACAGAATAAATTACGTACAGAATGATTGTAGATCATGGGCTAAATTTTTAGCGTCTTTGGGGTCCAACATTTGTTCAACATGTTTTTATAAGATGTAATGTTCTTCTGAGCCAACTCATTTGCAGCTCCAAAAGCCTCAAGCCATCTTCTCCACCCTCTTGTGGCCACTGTCATGAAATCTACTCTGCCTCTTCTTATGGCACCTGCCATGCGATCTCTTTTGTCATGGCCTTAGAGGCAGGGCCATTTTTTCAAGCTTATTTAGGGCATGAAGAACTTCCTGTTTCCTAAGATCAATGGAAGTGAGTGGCTCTCTCTGTTATTTGGGATGTAGGGCCATCATTTGGGTGACTTGGAGAATATGTTGTCTTCACAAGTCATCAGGTGCTCCTAAATGCAATAAATTTCCTCACTACATGACACTAAATCCCACCCATCCATTGTATTCTTGAAAATGTCACTTTCTGAGTGGGATCTTGAAGGTTTTTGAGATTCATTGCCCAACCACACATTATTCAGTCTTTTTGAGTCCATCTCTCTGCTTTTTTTCTTGATATGGCTACTATCTAAACAGGATCTGTGAAATGAAACTCAGGCCAAGAATTTGGGACACTCAACTATGACAGTTGGCAGCCGGGACACTCGCTGGAGGAGATTCTCCAGATGCTTTTTGACCTGACTCCTCAGGAGGTAGAAAGCCAGGTGCTCTCATTGCTCCTCCTCATCATCTTCCCTTTCCCCAGGATGAGACTATTGTGTCTGCTATTGATGTTGTCACCTACAGAGAACCGAGGCTGAGCTGGGGACAGACATCTTTCAGCTCTCTTCAGTAAGGAATGTATCCTCCAGTGTAATCAGCACAATGCTTGACCCACAGGGGCTCAGTAAATGCATTCATGGAGCTAATTTAGAACCCATGTTATCTAGATAAGCAGAGATGTTATATTTTGTAGAACTTGATAGGATAAGTAGAGGAGTGAAACAGGGAGTTTTAGTTTATTCTGTTTCTAAGGGAACAAAAGTCATTGGGTTTATTAACCACTTGAATATCAGAGGGCCAGGTTTTAGTGCCAGACACCCCTACCTTCTCACTGCAAACTTGGAAGTTGCTGTACTCTATATTTACCTTAGTTATTCAATCTAAAATTTGAGGATGAAATACCAAGTTCCAAAATTCTAGAAATATGGCTGATATTTAAATTATTTTTGATGTGGGGAGAGAACCTTGAAGTCTGGAAAATATTTAACTTATCAGAGAGAAGACAGATCATCACTTATCATTATGGCAAGGAGGAACCTGTAAGACTGCTTACCAGAGGGGCAGAGGGGGAGGGCAAAATGGGTAAAGGGGGTCATTTGTATGGTGACGAATGGAAATTAGACTTTTGGTGGTGAACACAACGTAGTGTATACAGAAGTCGAATAATAATGAAGTATATCTGAAATCTATAGAATGTTATACCAACGTTATCTCAATAAAAGGTAAAATGAATAAAAAAATTTTTTTCAAGACCTATTAAACTTGCCTCTTTATTTCTCCAGGCCAGGACATAGCAGCCACTGATATCAGCAGTTTCCTCTGGAGACCTTGGTAGTGTTGACTGCTTTGAGCCAACAAGCAGCCCAGGTCAGTCGTATCCTGAGAGGCTGAAATCTGGCTGCGGCCCAGGGTCGTTGGGCCAGGACAGGCCATCCAGCTGTTGGAAAAAACAGAAGGGGTCCAGCATAACCGCTGAGGTCATCCCTACACAGCACTGGCCACTTCCTCCAATGACCCACCACCACTACGCTTTTCATGACTTCCTGGTTACTAGACTGAGAGCTCTGTGAAAGTTGCGATATTTTATTCATCTCTGTCTTCATGGCTCCTAGCACCAAGTCAAGCCCCGAGGAGGCTCTCGCAACACTCATTCGCTGATCGAATTAAAGTGGTTGCAAATCTCCATCACCTCACTATGTTCCTGTCCCAAGTGTCCTGTCAGGGATGCTCTGCTCTCTCTCATGATGTAGCTGATGCCCATCCTTAGAGAGGAGCCTGCCCTACAGTCTCTATGCCCTATGACTCTCACCTGTGGTCAGCTCTGATGACGATGGGACTGTCCTCAGGGATTCCTCTCAATGGTTCACACTGTTATTAGGAAGAGATGTCCTCGGCCTATCCTCCCATCCTCTGGGCTGCCACAACACCCACGATTAGGAGAGCTACCACATTGGGTTGAAACCATCTGTTTGTATTCTTCCTCTCACTGCTCCGATTTCCTCAGAGAACTCTTCCTGATATCTTCTTGAAGTTCTTAACACAGTAGAAGGAAAATTTGGACTTCAACAAATATTTAAGACATACTGTATGTAAAGCCTTTCTCAACCGTAAATGCAGAAGAATATTATTAGTATTACTGCTTTAGATGCAAGGGTACCCCTACCCTGGTCTCTTCTGACCTTAGGGCAGAACTGTTTAAGGTAAGAATGGACATCTCCAACCCTTCTCCAAACATCACTTATCCCTCTAAGCCCACACTTACTGGGAGGGCATCCACTGCGAGGGCAGCCCCAAGGTCAAGGCTGGGGGGGTCTAGGGCAGAGCCTCATGGTGGCTCCCTCCTCTTGGAATTGGTGCTTCCCAGCAGTAGAAACCAACCTTCATCCATCCTCGGATCTCTTTGGCAGGTGCATAGGTTCACTGTGGAGTAAGCTGCTCTCCCAGTCCTCACTGCTCAGCTCAGGCTGCTCTTTGAGGAACTGGGTGATGCTGCACACATTCCTCAGTTTCCCTGACTTTTCTGAATTCAACTTGTCCTTATTCTCACCTCCTTTGGCAACCACTGCTCCACTAGCACCCGGCCCGTCTTAGAATTATTCTCATCCTCCAAACTTGCTAATTTTCTTTCTTCCATCTGGTCCTTCAGTTCTGTGTTTTCAGTGTGTGGGCTCAGCTCAGGCTCCTGCAGGAGACACACAGAGAAGGGACGGAAGTCAGGTCTTGGCTGCAGTTCCCAGGGCACATTTAACATGCCTCTCAGTCCCTCATGCACTCAGAAAACTGAGCAGGAAGGGACTTTGGAGAATCTGAATAACAACCTGGTCTTATTGATGAGGAAAATGAGGCTGAGAGAGAATACGAGATTTTTCCAAGCTCCCTCAGCACTTGATGGCAGCAAAGCCATCACACAAGGCTTGGCCACAAGCTTCCCTGTCCAAAGCGCCTAACACATCCTCCAGGAACCCACATCTAAATTTCAAGAGACATTGGGTCAAATATCAGTATTTCCACTGTTAAAACAAAAATATCTGAATGCTCTTTCCAGGGACAATTCCTTTTTCACAGTTATGTAGTCTCATTATTTATACTCAGTCAGTTTTCAATCCTGGCTGACACAGTGAGACAATGGAACACATAAGTATTAAATAAAATTTATCACAGAAATAATTAAAATGTATTTGTGTGATTATCTATAAAACATCTGGCTCCTGTGCCAGTAGATCATCTTCCTGAGAGCAGGCGCTCTGTCTGCCTTGTTTATCCCATCTCCCCAGGGCCTCTACAAGATCCTGCCAGACAAAACACTTAGTATACTTGCCAAGTGGATAAATAAGATTTACCACGGGCCGGCCCCGTGGCTTAGTGGTTAAGTGCGCGCACTCTGCTACTGGTGGCCCGGGTTCAGATCCTGGGCACGCACCGACGCACTGCTTCTCCGGCCATGCTGAGGCCATGTCGCACATACAGCAACTAGAAGGATGTGCAACTATGACATACAACTGTCTACTGGGGCTTTGGGGGAAAACAAAAGGAGGAGGATTGGCAATGGATGTTAGCTCAGAGCCGGTCGTCCTCAGCAAAAAGAGGAGGATTAGCACAGATGTTAGCTCAGGGCTGATCTTACTCACAAAAAAAAAAAAAAAAAAAAAAGAGTTACCAGGAATATCTAACTTTTACTTATGTCTTCTAGTCCCAACCACATTTGCAATAAAATCCTATCCTAGGTCTGTGCTGAAGCAATCCCGTAGGAAGAGCAGTCAAAGGCTCAAATACCAACACCACCACGGACAAAGTATGCTTTCCCAGATGGTTTCACTACCTTCTCAGACAGATTTATCTCATGTATAATAGAGAAGAATGTATAGTGTAAAATAGACAAGGCAGCATTGACCACTAGAGTGCTGGATGATTAAATGTGATATCCTGCAGTAGACAGGGCTCCAACCCCTGGGCACTAGCAGCACAGCTAAAGAACGCCCACATCAGAGTCAACGTGGTGCTTGTTAAACACCTCCAGAGATACTGCCCAAGAAACCGCATTTCAGACAAAAATTCCACGGAGATTGCATGCAAGGAAAAAGCCTCGCCATTAAAAAAAAACAACAACCTAGGATGCAGACTCTGAAAGCTCCAGTGTAACAAGAATGACAGCTTTGAGCAGAGCAAGTCCCTTGTCCAAAGTGGCCTTTCCATGGCAAATGTCCCTCTTTCCAAGAAGGGTTCCTATTTGATGTGGGACACAAAGAGGACCCTTCTTCCACAGTCTGGGCTTCTAGCACCTCCACTGTCCTTTCATTTCTCCTCTGCTCTAATCACTGGATCTCAGCTCTCACATGGGTCATTTCTTTATGAAGACCTCTGTTGTCTTCTTCTCCTCTTGGAGAAAGAGATGGCAGAGATCAGTTCTGGGCTTTCTCCTAAGCCACCTAGGGGAGCTGAAAGAAATCATAACTGATAGAAATCAGGTCAGTAAAGAAGATCCCAGAGGAGCATGAGATCGCAAGGGCAGGCCCTCATGGGAGATGGTCAGAACATAGTCAATATCAGACCTATTCAGGTGGGGAGGACATACTGACCAATTCTGTGAGCAGAGAACTGGGCCATGTCATTCCAGACTTCTGATCTACAGAACCGCGAGATAACAAACGTGCATTGTTTTAAACCACAGTTTTTGTAATCTGTTAATATGGAGCAATAGAGAACTAATTCAGATGCTTATCTCTACTCTCCCGATTT